GTAACACCACATCTGGAGACGGAAATTTACGACTTTTTTAGGACAACTTAAACCATAAAAAAATTAATTTGCAAAAAATCCTATCATTCAATATTTGAAAATTTACGTTGAAGTTCAAGGTCGTCATTGTATTGATTAACTGTAAAAATATCGATTGGTGAAGCTGAGCTCAATATTGCACAGGGCAAAGTTAAACGAGTCATGATCATGAGAAAAACGTGTCATGTTTACATTTCTCGAGTACGGGAAAACCCAACTATGACGTCACACATTCCTGAAATAAGCGAAATAAGACAAACCCACAGAACTTTTCCGCCAACAACCATGTAAAAATATTTTTTGCGTTCTGAAATTTACAAAATACCTTACCATGTACATATTATGGCCTGTTTTTATGATGTTATACTACCCGTTTTTACCGTGTATGATCTTACTGAACTAAGAGATCCACTATGACGTCAAAGACGCACTGGACGCGCAGAGTAGGGAAACGGCAGAGTGGATTAATCTATTCCGTAATTTGATAATATTTGCAAGAAATTTTTAATATTTTCAGATATTTTTATACTAGATGAAGAACGAAAACAAACAGTCAAAAAAATTTATACAAGTACTGTAGTTTCAATCTCGTTTTGTACATATTTTATGAGAGATTATGACGTAAATCAACTGAGTCACGTGACCATACATCCTTCATCCCCTTAAATCAGCTTTAGTTCCTGATCACTTTTCTGAGTGAGCTTCACAATTTTGTTTTAGCCTTCTTAAATCTTATGTCTTGTATCCAAATTTGTTATTACAAACAAAAGAATAATTGATAGTTGTAGGTTTAAAAAACTTAAGTTGCAACCTGTTTAAAGAAAATATGCATTTATTTTAAATGAACTAAAGACAGAGACCATAAGATCTTTTGCTTGAATTATTATTATTAAGGTGAAATCAAAACCAAATAAGATCCATAAAGAAATTAAAAAATGGTCAAACATTTGCTTGACAATAATATACATATAATCTTATATTTGAATACCTTTGCTTTTTCCTTTTCGTTTGGTCATTTTCCTCATTTCTCTCTTAATTTCCTTCTCTGAATATAAAACAAAATATATATTATTTGATGTTAATGCTTATTTTTTCAGTCCTCTGAAACAGCTATTGAAAAAATATTAGTACATTGTAGTTGAAATAGGTGAATATTCACATACATTTTTTTAATTTAAAATTAGAATTTTTACCATTCGGCTCTACATATACAACACTGGAAACAAGGTTCCTTTCCTCCACAGATACATCAGTACCTTTAAAATAGACAAAATATAAATATAACAAAAGTGCTTCAACCCTTTTTAATGAACACATCTTGTTCCCTCTTGGCTTATCCTTATTCTTGGAAGAAAATTTAATTTACAAAGATTATGCAAAACCTTTCTATATAGACTCTGATAAAAACCCATATAAAACCCCTACAAAGAGCATGAAATTCATGATAGAGTATCAACAAACATTGCTCTTCATTTTCATGCATCATGTTTATAAATTACCCATATACATTGAATTTTATAAAAGAATGCATTTTACCTCAACAATCACTAGAGCCCCACCTTAAGTAATTTTTTTTTAAGATTTAAGATTTTAAAGCTTTAGTGTCACCCCTCAGGCCACGATTGGACAGGCACAATGAAATAAAAAAAAAGTAAAAAAATGTTTCCATTTACTTATTAAGCTGCTTAATGTTAAAGGTGCTTGGAATTAGTTTTGTAGTTCCAGAGAAAAATCTGAATATGTTCCAAAGCCAATTTTGGACTGACGATTGACTGATGATACTGTAAAAGCACAAATATTCGTGGGGGATTAAATTTCTTTTATTTCGTTGTTAACAATTATGAATGAAATTAAATTTAACACGAAATTTTATATGACTATACACTGAATAGGGCTACTTTCAAAACAACAAAATTAAATGCCAACTAAACTATTTTTGATGACAAATCAACGAAATTTTATCCCAACGAAAATTTGTGATTCTACAGTAAATGACAATACAACTACAGACAAAAAGAGTGACAATAAGGTGACTTTAAAAAATTCAATTTCTCACAACTGAAGTGGATAAAATTACAAATAAAACAATCAAGAGCTGCAGGATACCTAGTTCTGATGTCACTCCAAGTATGCCAATAAGGTCATTTCCAGCATCCTCTATCTCTGAAGTGGCGTGTTGTGCTGAAATACATTTTTTTCAAATATTAATATGCATGTACCTTATTATCAAATTACAGTCACATGACAGTCACCATGGATAACCCTCCCCTTACCTTATGTACAAATAAATCCAAATTTACCTATCACACTGGTTGTTGAAGCAAATGCTGCACAAACAATAATTGTACTCAGTATTTTTTAAAATGCAAATGAAACATTAAAGCCGAACATAACTAATGCATTTAGACGACATCAGCATTGTGTCAATTGTAACTCAGATTTTTTTTACGTTGTCACAATGAAATGATTTTGCACCTCCTTGATAATGCTAGGCAGCAAACAACGTATAGAGAAAATCATATTTCTACTAGTGTTGTCAATGAGTACCCGGTTAACTGTTAAACAAATATGCATTGGTTAGTAAAACTGCTTCTCAATTACTTGCAGATATATAAAATTAATATTTTAATGTTTACATCAGGAAGAAAAATGTAATTTGAAAATAATCAAGTTTTATTTATCCTATATTTAATAGTGAATTGATTGAACTGCATGATCTCTTATTTGCACTAGGAAAGTGATTGACAATGTATAAATTGTGTGTTTTTATTGAGGTGAGTTTATAGCCAGAGTTATTCCCCATGGCTCCCATTTTGTAGGTCAATTAACATTCCAAGATCCCCTCATTATTCAACTAAGTTCAAATTCTTACTAACAATGGTTCAACTGATGTAAATATACTTTTCAAAGTCCCCAGGTAAGTTTTTGCTTTACACTGCTTTAAAAATAAATAATTTAGACAATATAAATTGATAACAATACAGGATAAATAGAAGCAAAACAATTTTTTTTCACTTTTTGTTCTTAGTAGAGAACTTTTAACAAATTCCTACGCATAGCCTGGTTCCCTGTCCCTGTTTTGCTTCGTTTACTCTGCGTCACTGCCTCGGCAATGGTGAGACAGGGTACCAGGCTAAATTTTCCACTCATTCGGCAAACCTAATCAGCCGAGGAGTCCCTAATGATGCAGGTGTTAGGCCTACACAGTGCCCCCCTAGACATCGCCAGATTTCGTTTCTGGAGATAAACAAAGAAGACGCCATATTACACAAGGTATTAGGTATACGCGATTGCGGTATGGCGTTCTCCATGGTCAAATTATACAGCTGGTACAACGAAACTTATGCGGAAATCGGAGACTGCCGTACAATCTGACCACGTTTTAAAGTTTGTGTATGACAAAGATGCGCAGTTTATAAGGGGAATTGTGCAAGCCTCCATGCGAGACCGGAGCTACAGGTTACTGTAAGTTCATCCCATTTCTTTGAGATTTTTGGAAGAAAGAAAAGTTTTTTTTTTTTTAAGTCTTTGCCTTGCCAATGACCAAATAAATGGTTGACTACAGTATCTGAAGAAATTTTAAGGAGTTGAATGAATGTCATACAGACCTCTGCCTATGGCTGCTAAATCAAAGCTTTACAGTTTTATGTGAAGAATTAAACAGTTAAAAATATATAGGAGTATGTAAAGAAATGTTGTAACTGTAAATGGAAGTAACTTTTCTCTATTTTGTTCAATTATAAAGTATGAATTTAGACCCTCCAGCCCCTGCATGGGTTTTAGTTTCCAATTTTTATAGCCATAAAATGACTTGGAGTTGTAAAAGGGGTTTTTGAAGAAAAGTATAGCTTGCACCCCCATCTTCAATAGAACTCCATTTTTCATAATATTTATTTTTTTTATCTCTTGAAGAAAAAAAAATGTAGAGCAAGTTATTGAGTATATATTGTTTCTCCAAGGATGAATCCAGGATATGTCTTTGTACTCTCATGTCATCCAGAACTTGTGAATTTTTTCCTCATTTTCCCATTTATTTTCCCATTTATATATATTTTAATTTAAAAAAAATTAAATAAGACACTTTCACCTTGTTATGCTATTTTAAAAAGTTGTCCATATAATTTTGAAGCGATATGAGCAAAAATAAATCGATAAAAATAACCTATTGCAGATTTATTAAGAACAGGTGCATGTGGTGGATTTTGATCCGCTCCCGTATAAAACAAAAATGGCGTCGTACAGCAGACGCTTCTTACTCGTCGTAATTTTCGTTAAATAATGCAAGTAGAAAAATTACCATGGATAATTTCGTTTAGTATCATTGCATGCAGGAGAATATTCATTTGATTTGCACCAAAACATGACTGATTCTGTCAGGAAAATGGAAAGCTAGCCGAAAATTCTATGGCATGTCCTGTCGCACGACTGCTTTTTTGTGCGTTTTCAAAGACTTGATATATCAATGGTGAGTTTATTAATTCTAAACAACTTTTTCTTTCTCCGAGACGATTTGGGGTTTGGAAAAATTGTGTAATTTATGTATTTTGCAAAAAATTTACAAATAAATACCGTTTGACAGATTTTTAAACGTAAAAACGAAAATCGGCAATAATGGGTACTCGGCAATAATGGGTGTACTCGCACGTTATATGTTTTATCCTGCCTATGCAATAAATCCAGAACAAACCTCTTTCCGAATTTCCTTGACTGAAAGTGTCTATGCAATGTCTTAATACATAATAATAAATTAATTTACAATTCTTTTTTTTTCTCTCTCCACAATTTTCAAGTTTCCATGTAAACATGCTTTTTACTTTTAAAATTGATAGTATCAGATAATATAAGTAAAATTCTAGGTGGTTATTTTTTTTTATTTTATTAGATTACTCTTGGTTCTAACAACACAGTTGAACAGAGTACCTGTGAATGTGTACATGGGATGGACAAATGTCACCATAAAGCCAGCATTCTTCTGTATGGGTAATTTATATGCAATTTATGTAATATGTAAATTCACTTGGTCTGTTTTAGGTATGCTTTACCAAATTTAATGAAATAGAAATTATATCAAAACATGCACACCAATATATATACCCGGTATATACAAGTATGCAGTTCACCATGTGACTGTAGGTAGCAGGGTACTATTCGTGCCCTGGAACCTCCAAGTCCACTACCTTGGCATATATATATATATATATAAATTCACAAAACACCTAACTAACTCATTACACCCGGACTTTGGACTTCAGATATTTAATGGCTTATTTGACATTGGACTGAAATTCTGACAAGATGTGCAGTCTTTCCATTCTTTTTGCTTTTTTTGTCTTTTACATGTTTAGTTTTGTTCTTGTCTCTTTTGTTTTTGTGTTGACTTTGTTTTAAACTTTTAATTATACATTTATACTATCAATTTCAATTCAGTGTGAAGTTTTGCATCAAGTCACAATCTTTTTTGACAGATGCATTCAGCATAAACAATTCATGTGATTGATAAACTCATATTATCAACCTTGACACAGAAATAGTTTGTTGTACAAGCAAACAATCAGGGATTAGAAGAAAGTTCCAGTCGTAAAGCTTGCGGTTAGGAGGCGTATACTATTTACCTTGAACGCATCTGTCAAACTAGAAGATCGTGACGTAATATAAAACTTCAACTCAACTGCAACCTTTAGTAAAATGTTTAAATATTATTCACCCTATTTCTCATACATACTTAAAGGAAGTTATTTGTACATTCTTTTCACATGTATACATATTGAAATCCAAAATTTATTTGAAGTAGTAAATAAAATAAGTTTGAAAAAATATTTAACATATATACCAGTATTAAGAATTGGTGATGTAACTGCAATTCAGGTTTATTGAGTATTTGTTGTCTTTTTCTCTGAGGGTTTAATTTTTTTGTTTAATTAAATCAACAGCAATGTATTGGATACTATCCCCCGAGCCGCCTGTGCCCACACTTGCAGTGCCTCTAGTTGAAGACCTCATCTCTAGCCAGGAATTTATTTCTGCAGAGAATCCAATCGCTTGGATGAAGCAAAAATTAATGATAAATGAGCAAGAAATCCAACAGGTAAAGACAAATGAGTTGCATAATGAATAGAATGTATTCTGTTTCATTATGAATGTTGTTTAAGTTTTAAGATTTTTGTCATGTTTTAGATTGCCTGTCTTACCACTGGTCAAAAGGAAAATTGCATGTGGTCATCTGTTAGGAAGAATAGATCAACAGCTTCAAACTTTGGTTGTGTATTGGCAGCGATCAAGAGAAATAGGTATACTGGTAGTTTACATGCCTTTATATGTATATGTAATTATAAATGATACTTGTAAAAGCAGTTAATTATAAAATCAAAAATATTGAAAGTTTGCTCCTTATAGAACAGATATCCTGTCTCCTTATACAAAAGATTATGCTCAGCTTATGATCTGTCAAAGAAGGATGCCATTATTTGGGGGACGTGCAATGAAAAAGTCGCAGTTGAAAAGTATAGAACTTTTGGGGATGCAGTTGTAGAGCCAACAGGTTGGTACTTTTCTTTCCTAAGCAAAATTTCAATTTCTTTAAAGCAAATAAAAATTGATGATAAATAAAAATTTTTCTTGAGCTAATTTATTTAAAATTCAGTTATTAAACTGAAGTTGAAGATAATGAATATAAATATACTGTTTGTTTATTCTATTTATAACAAGTCATCAATGCATAAGAAAATCAGAGTGTTGCATATTAATGCTATTTTGAAACTTTATAATACTGTTCATATTAGGTATCTGGCTACACTGTAATGGGGTTCTTGGGTCAAGCCCCGATGGACTCATTCGTCGTCCTGCTGCATTCGGATTCAGCTATCAGAATCCAGGACTCGCTGACATATTAGAGATGTCAAACGTTAAGCCAGAAATACTGGAGGTGAAATGCCCCTTTTCAGCAAAGAATATGACAATTCCAGAAGCTATTGAAAAAGTACAGGATTTCTGCCTAGGTAATAATAGTGTGTATGTATTTGTTTGAATACGTTTCATGTACTGAGATATTACTTTAAATAATTCCAATATATTAGTTTGAATAAATTTAAGTACAATTTAGCAATTGTTGAAAAAGTTATTTCCTTCTGTTGTAATGTTAGTCCTCAAGGCAGATGATTTGCCTTCTCACTTTATTGTACAGTAAGGAACAAAATACTTATACATGTAAATATTTATTAGTTAAATAGTTTTGTCTTATATTAATGATTGAGGCACCAATGAAAATTCTTATTCTTTAAAAATCTTCAACATATATATTTTTTTCATATAGAGGTTCAGGATTTTAATGGAGTCAAGTCCTTCAAGCTATGAGAGAACCACCAATACTATGATCAAGTGCAAGGACAGCTTCATATAATTGGGAAATCCTTGTGTGATTTTATAGTCTGGACACCAAAAGACTGTGCGATTGTGAGAATTAACAAAGACATCAATTGGGAGATCAACATATCTGTTTTGACAGACTTTTATTTCTGTAAATTTCTCCCGTATTTACAACAGCTATAAGATATAACATTAAACATGGTGAAAACATTTTAATTTTAATATCTTAGTTATCTACACTTGCAAAATTCTGAGCAATTTCCTGCATAAGGGGATCCTGAAAATTGACTAAAACACAGCATAATTGAAAGACTTTTGTAGAAATATATCTAAATTGCTGCGGAACATGCCTTGAAATTTCATAATTCTTAATACGCTCATTTGCTCTTTCAACATGTATGCGTGACTTAGCAATTCTTCGACATAGTTGGACCTCACTGGAAAGGGAGGAATATTTAGATGTACTCCTTGGGGGCAACAACTTGTGAATAGTGAACCCTTTGTCTGCTAAGATCATATCACCTGGAGATAACTGTTCTAAGACTTTACAATGTTCTACAATTGCAACATCAGATGTGCTGCCAGGGTGCAATTTAGTAATAAATACCAAAGCACCATTAGGTGCAACACCTGTAACACTTTTAACAGTGTGAGAATTTTTGTATCCGCTGTATGTGCTGGCCTGCAATCTCATATCATTCCCTGGAACATCCTGGGTGATTTCTGTTGCATCAAGTACTATTCTACATGAACTAAAATCCCCAAAACTTGTAGGCATAGACCCTTCCACATTCGTCATGAAATTTTGTGGATGTAATGATTAGGTTCTTTAATTGTGCACATTGGATTTAAAAATTCGAAGCTTTTATTAGTTTCCATGGAAAGGGGGGAAAAGTCAAAATTCTTGAACTTCGATTTTTAAATCAAAGTACTGAAAGTACAGATAGGTTTGATGGTTGTCCAAGTTTGAGTTCTAGAAAAATGTCCATCCAATTGAGCTAAAACCTTTTTAAGGCTAATAGGCATGTTGTGTAGATGTATGGAACAAAGGTCATTTTGTGTGCATACGCATTTACGTGCGGATGTGTGCAACATTAAATGACTTGTATACTGAATATTGCTTTAACTTTTACACTTTTTTGATGAAATGCTCATTTCATAAGGATATTATATAAGGATATATTAATAGTGTAGATGATATGACATTGTCAGATTAGCACGAAATGATGTGCATGCACGTGCACTTTGCTCTGATTGGCTGAAACAAAAATTTTAATATCTCTTTCTTTTTTGATGAAATACATTGAAATTTTAAATAAGTCATGCATTACGACAAGTCATGCATTACTACAATATGATATATAACAATAATCATGAAAACATGTGCATGCATGTGCACTGCAATCTGATTGGCTAAAACTTTAAATGGCTATAACTACTCTAGTTTTGAACCAAACAGGATGGGATTTATAACTTGCATATGCATGCACATGCGCTTAGCTCCGATTTTAAAATCAAAGTACCGAAAGGACTGATACGAGTTGATGGTTGTCCAAGCTTAGCTAATGGGCATAGTATTACTGATGACAAAATGAAAATTCTCCATTTCGGGAAACATACGCTATTGCTTGCAATAGCAGACTTTCTAGTCATTATGTCGTCCCGAACGAAGTTGGGGACGACATATTGCGATTGTATGCATGTTTAAATACATCCTCAGTCTATCAGTAATATGATCATTTTTCTGCTAACTGTTGTTGTTGAAACGCAGGTAACAAAATTCGATGATAATCAGCATGCACAAAATTTTGCTGGCTAACTGTGACCTCTTAGCTTCGGACGTAGGAAATATTGATCCTTAGTAGTGCCTGACGCCATGGCATAAGGCAAGAAAAAAAAATGCTCAATAACAATAAAGAACAAGTATATAAAGCTCAAAAATAAAAAGATAAAATCACTGGCGGATTTAAAGGGGGGCGTGGGGGGCGCACGCCCCCCTAAAATTTTCAAAGTATGATGTGACTAATATTTAGAAAGCCACATTTTGGTACAAAACTAACCAAATAAGTGTTATTCTGCCTGGTTTTATTCATAAAATACACAAAAATCCAGGAGCTTCCGGGGCTGCGCCCCCTGGGCCCCCACTATTCAAAGTATGACATGACTAGTATTAAACACGTCGTACTTTGGTACATCACTAACCAATACCACTATTAGTAAGTAATAAGTAAGTAAATCGTTTATTATATAGTGGCATGTGTTACAATACAATGAGAATTGAGAAACATTCAATACATTTATTATTTTAAAAACATCCGGACCTATATGCTATTTACTTTTACCAAAATAATTGAAAAATATGCACTATTATTGTGCCTGGTTTTACTCTAAAATACACGAAAACCCAGGAGCTTCCGGGGGCTTCGCCCCCTGGGCCCCCACCTATATGCTATATACTTTTAACAAAAATAAATTGAAAAATATGCACTGGTTAATATGTGCCTGGTTTTACTCTAAAATACACAAAAACCCAGAAGCTTCCGGGGGCTTCGCCCCCTGGGCCACCACCTATATGCTATATACTTTTAACAAAAATAATTGAAAAATATGCACTATTATTGTGCCTGATCTTACTCTAAAATACACGAAAACCCAGGAGCTTCCGGGGGCTTCGCCCCCTAGGTCCCCATCAGGGCTTCGCCCTGGACCCACTGGGGGCCTTAAGGTGGCCCCCAGACCTCTTGCCTCAACAAAGTTATCCACGCCCCCCCTAACCACAAATCCTGTATCCGCCCCTGAAAATCACCCTTATACTTCATCAAAGTGAAACCTATTGTTCTTATATAAAATTTAACGATGCTTTTTCATTCGCTGCATCTAATAATTCCTTATATCATTCATACTTTAACTGAAACCTGTTCTTTTCACCTGTGTGCTGTTCTTAAGCCCGGCTTTCAGTACTTTCAGTACTTTGATTTTATTGAAGGGCTTTAACACAAAATATAGAAATGTAAAGGCACTCTAGAATTCAAAATTCGCAATGTTCAATACTGCTTTTATCCTAGCTCCTTCAAACGAATTAAGATCACGACAACTGCTCCTTAAAGAGTTCACACAATTAAAAAAGAAAAATCTTATTAATATTGAAGATTATTTCATGTATGGACTAGGTTGTCCTCTATAGTTACTCTAGATTCTTTTGTTGGAAAAACTCTCTTCACTCTCCGGTCCATCTTGTCCCATTCATAATCTATAGGTTTGAGATGTAGATGACATTGAAGCTTATATACCGAAATTGTTTGTACCCGACAATATTAAGCCTACAGTACATAAGGTCTCCTTACATGCATTCACCACTCTTCCAGTTTGTTTCTTATAATTTGGATAATTAAGGAGACTTCAATTAATTTTTAATGAGTGCAGAGCAATTGAACGTGCAGATAGGTTCCTTAGATTATACAATAGTGAGTAATTCTTATGCAGTAGACCTGTTAATGTGTCATTGTAGTACAAGTATATGTCTTGACCATGGGCACTTCCCTGTTCCAGTTTCAGTGAATTTCCAGTTAACCCTTGGATGGTTTAGTAGTATTTATTGAAAATCTCTGGCAATATTTAATGATTATAAGGAATACAAGTAAGCTATGTGCATCTTCCTGACGGTATTTTTAACGGTTTTACATACAATAAACAAATACAAAGGAATGAAATACAACTCTCCTTTACTACCACCAGCTTGGACCATGTTAACTTCATGCACAATTGCACATTGTCGTTCATATATACACAGCATTTTAACCAATCTTTTTTCTGTTTTTTGTAATCAACTAAAGATGGAGAACACATGGAATTTTAAATAAATGCAAGATACACCCAAAAACCAATGAAACTCGCACATCGTGCTTTTTAACAAAAAGCGGTAATGGTTGAGTATAATTATACAATTATACGTTCGATTCCAATTTTTTTGGCCATAACAGGCAGTCATTGGGAAAAATAAATCAAAATTGTTAACAACTATTTAATTAATACTAAGTTTTAAAATACCTTAGAAAATAATAAAAGTGGGGACTTAGAAATTTTGACCAGTATATAACATTATTTTTCTTATGAATATTCATTTGGTACAGCCTCTTTTAATTTAAAATTTTTTGACTGTAAATATTTTCCCCCATATCTTTCTTGCTTGCATGCATGTTTAAAACTGGTTGCTCAAAGAGGAAGTTCATTACTTTAATTTCATTTTACATTCAGAATCTCCCCAAGCATTTCTAGATTGCACTAGCTCTTCATAAAAAAATCTACCTGTTTATTCTAGCTGTTTAAATCCTGATAAATATATATTGTATTGCTTCACAATTATTACTGAAAATCAAACTGTACAAAAGAAGTCCTTAGGCTACTGAAAATATTGTATCAAAAACAGTGTGAGTTGACATGTAAGCAGCATTTTTTTAGTATATGTCAAGCTGTTTAACAGACATTAATATACAGTGTAATTGCTCACATTATATCTATGTCTATCCCTGCTATTTACCCTATGTTTTGTAACAATTTAATGATTACAACCAAAAACATCTATAAGAGAGGAAAATACATAATAATGAAAGCTTTATAAGACTATCAATCAGAATGAGATATATATATATACATACATGATGATGAAGGCAATGGTTCCAATGATGATGGCCCAGCAGAGGAGGTAGATGGTTCCTGTGATAGTGACTCTGTAGGTTCCGCTGACTGTGGATATCTTGATAATAGGGAAAAAATTCTAAATAATTGCATGAATTAGAAAATTTAATGTAATACACTTAAAAAAAAACTAAATATGTCTTTTTGATTTTTAACTTAATTTCAAGCATTGGGTTCGATACAAACATATGTACAAAATGAAAGTATCAGTCCCCAAAATGATCAAACAAGCAATATTGACATTTCATTCAAATTCAGTCAAAACCAATCTTGTGTAACATTCAAACTTCAAAAACCCTGACCATGCAACTTTCCTAAAGGAGGAATTATTATATATATATATAACTGTTTCTGGTGAAATATAACTATATGTGGCATGATTCAGCAGTTTTTCAGGGCATATGGATTAAGATATCATATTTGCGATATAATGGGAAAACTTCTTCGAAAATGTCATATAAATCTATCACAAACATGTCAAATATTGCTGATTTCTGAAAAAAAGTTTGTATTATTTATCCTTGATCAATATTAAGAGATGGCCATGAAATGTGTAACCCTGGCTTCTAAAGGTTTCTGCCTTTTAAGGGGGATGTACGGCCACATTTAGTGCAGTGAGAGCAAAATGTAAACATTTCTTCAAATGGCTAAAATACATTATATTTTGATCAAATTTTAAGTCTTTTTGATAAAGATACAATAAATATGCATAACCGAATGCATGTTGTGCATAAATAATCTATACTTTTGCAGAAAAATGCTTTTGATATGCTCCTTAGAACTGCGCAGCTACAGAATTCAGCAAAGCCTTAAAAAATCCAAAAAAATATGCAAACTGTGCATTAATGTTCTCTCTACAACCATTTGTTGAGAAAATGTCTAATTTTTGCACTTTTAAATGAAAATTTCAAGTTCAAAGCAATGTACCATTGTCTTCAAAAAGAGTGTAAAGAACCATGAAAGTAGTTCATGGATAGCAGCACGTGGTCTATTTTTAGCACAGAATCTTGTTTTCCAGACCTCTTCTTAATATGGAGGGGCATAACAATCTTTAAATGTAGAAGAGAATTACAGTTGAAAAATATTCCAAATAATATATGAACACTTTTAAAAGAGGAAAGGTGTTATAGTGTGGCTTGAAGTAATTTATTTAGTATTATTATCGAACAGTTTTTATATAGTTTACGCATTGATATTAAAAAAAATTAAACTCTTTGATTCCAGGTAAGGAAAAATGAGCACCATCAAAGTTAAAAATTAAGAGTTTGTAAGTTTGCCACAGATAAATTATATTATCTATTAAAATTTAATTATCTACAATAAAACACAAAGAAATTAGACACATAAGATTGATACGAATGACCTTGTTTTAGTACCTCCTAGTACGAAGCGTTATCAAAAATTTCGCGAAATATCTCTATATCTACAAAACCACAGTTCAGATTAGATAGCCAAACACAAGTTCTATAAATAGCATATGCTGAAGTTTTGATCCTTGTTTGTGATGTCAATCTGAAAATGACGTCATTATTCAGGTACTTTTGACGAAAAATGGTTGTCTCAATGGAACTCGTGGCACATGTATATCTTAGAAATGCCTTTGAAGTAGCGTATAAGAATTTGTTCATGTGAAGCAGTTTATTAAATGGCTTCCTATAATTTCAATCAATGATTGGATATCGTTTTAGTGAAGGAAGGCAGATGGTTAAATATGATACTTGTTATGTTGCCCGGTGAAAGCAAGTTTGAAAAGGGATGTGTTTTTAATAAAGCAATATGCTATCAAAGACCTTCAATTAAAATTTTACACTTTGAAAAATACTTCAATATTTCAACAATAATAAATATCAAATACCTAAGATATTGTTTATTTTTTGATCACCCCTCGTATATTCTGTCAAATAAACATGCATTTATAATTTTCATCACAGAGGAGCAACAGTTGAAAAGGCATGAAATCATTCAGAGTGGGTTAGGAGATTTAATGAATAACTTTTTTTCTATTTGCCCATATTTTCAAAATTACAATTACAATTCAATTGTACAAAGTAAAGAGAAAAAATCAACCTATAAACATCTTTAAAATGATGTTTGGTGGTCCTCCCAACTCAGGGAAAGATTATTGGGTCCGTATTTATAGGTGAGAAAAAAAAAATCCTTAAAATTTAAACAGAATTGTTGACGGAAGAAAAAGAAAAAAAATATCGTGTAATGGAATGTTAAAAAAATGAGTCGGGTCATTTCTAGGCAGTATTTTTTATTTTTATAACAAGTGGTATTATAAGGCTAGTACATGTTCCATCACATACTTAGTAATGCAATTTTAAAAAATCTTTGACACTATTTTGAAAAACAAACATAGGATTTTCGGGGGGGGGGGGGGGGTAGCACTCACTTTTTTGCGATGATAGACATAGCATATATGCAATGGACCTTTCTTTGCAAACATTGTGCTCGCTTCTAAATTTCATAGAAACAACTCATTATATTTTATCAAGATTCGCATGTTCAATGAGCGAGAGCTTACAACGTTGTCAACATAATGAGACATGATGCGTTTTCGTGTCCAAACATTACTCCATACAATGAGTGGGTCATTGCAAACATTCTTGCTATTTATGTGAGGTGCCTGAAGGATATCCTATAACTGCCTATTTTTTCTATCTAGCTTCTAAACAAAATAGACATATGTACCAACTTTTCGAATGTAAGACATGTAATTACAATTTATTTTTCATGCACTGCATATTGTTTAACATTTTCAAATTAAATGCTAAGCATCCTCCTTGCAGTGCCCCATTTGAAAATAACTTCTATCGCCACAGAAAAAAGACCCAACGTAAACACATATGTTTAGGACATTTTTATCTTTTTTTCTTTAGTTTTAAAGTAACCAACAAATTATCAAGACTTGTTCCATAAAAATTAAATATAATCATGGTAATAAACGGATTCATCCACAGCAGATATATGCAAATGCCAACCATGTGCTTAATGGATTAATATTATCGAGGAATTTCGAGTTGTAAATAGAACAATTTTTCCCGATTTGCTGGAGTGAGGTTAAAATCGCGTTTTTTCATTAATCAGACGATGCGATGCAACAAATAAAAGTAGTAAGTAATATTACCTAATGATTATTACTTAGTAATTTCTTGTCTTGATGTTATTATGGTCGCATTTATTCTAAAATCATTGTTATTCGAACTCTGTGTGACAGAGGAATGGCGGACCAAAATAAACACATGGCCTCAGGAAGACACCCATATGAAAAATCAAATTTTCAAGAATTATGGATAATGACAAGAAAAAAACGAAACAAATGGTTGTAGCCATATTATCAATGAATCAAACTAACCCCATTTTCAATGCATTTTTCATCTCATGAATGCTGTAGCTGCGCAGTTCTAACATGATTAATTTTCTTCTGATTAAGACAAAATAAACTTAATTGTTTACTAATTTTGGTCTCTAACAGTAGGTAATTAGTGCATTAGCACTTTGAGTAACTTTGGGCTAGTTTGGTAGAGTATTAAGCGCATTCTTGGTATTTCTTAGTTTACACCAGACTAGATCAAATATGGCTTGTACATCCCCCTTAATGTTTTATATTTACATTTGTTGATGTTTTTCTTTATATAACAACGATAATTTGGATTATCCTTCGGGCGTTATAGAATTTGATCACATGACCGACTTCATGTCATATTCCCATGAAACTCTAAAAATGATATCTTAATTCTTAATTAGAAGTATAAAAAACTTTTGGTCATATATGACTACTATTCATACCTTATTGATATGCTGCGACAAGATAATAATAATTGCAGCTTTTCTTCTCCATAGTGTGATGGAGGGTGCAAAGGCAAAACAGCCTCGGGAAGTCCCTCCACCACAATATCCCCTTTTCGAACCATCTTGTAGGGAAAGCACCCTGCTTTGTCTGAAGCTTTTCCTGTAAAAACAATTATACTTAATTTTCCAGAGTATCATTCATAAATCATTAGTGTTCAACTTCAAACTAACCCAAAAACGATTCTACAATTCCAATCATAACTAAATGATTTTTGATGAATATAAACTTTAGAAAATCCATTCCAATATATAAATATATAATTTTTCAATAGGAATCATACTTAAAAATATCAAATTATTAAAGGAAAACAAAATAAACTCTAGAGGTACTGTGAGCAATGAGCTCACTAAATGATAACCCCCTCTCCCATATGAATATAATGGGAGTGTCCATGTTTTGTACTGGGAAATCCAAAATATGTGTCCGATCCAAAAGTAAAATAGGAGGTGCATAATGGCAATATGTAATAAAAATTCTGTGAAATTTCATTCGATCAGTACATGGTATGAGGGGAGTTGAGGATATGAGATGGGTACCAAAGCGTAACAGCCAGACGGACAGACATACAAATTACTATTTACCCTCCTGATTTAAATTTCAAGCTGGGGGTATAGTTAAACAGGGGCAGATGGAGCATAATTTAATACACATGTACATCTCTTTTGAGAATGTTTTAAAATTATATATTTTGTAACTTGATATATATATATATGCAAAATTTTATGCATGACTATTTTAAAATATCCACATATTTTTGGAGCTCAACTTATATTGAGACTCAAAACATTGCGATACATTTTGAACTTAATAATGATGATAAGTTTTAGAACTTCAACTTTTTCCCTATTCAAACCATTGGTATAGTCGGTTGAGCACTTGCTCTGTGATCGGAAGGTTATAAGTTCGAATCTTAGCCGCGACTGACCTAAGTCGATAAAAAATAGGTAGTGACTGTTCCTTCTCCATGCAATCGGAACTTTGAGGTCTTTAATTATGAGCCCTTTGAATGAGACCTTTAAAATTGAGGTCCCATGTCACAGCAAGTGTTGCCACGATAAAGATCCCTCACTGCTCAATGGGATTGAATGCCGAGTAAAGGTCAAAATTTAAAGCTCTTCACTGGTATATGGTAATGTCTCTATATGAGTGAAAAAAAGTCTCAAATGGGACAATTATAACAACATGCAATCAATCAATCAATCTTTAAACCATGGAAGTTTTAAAATTTAATTTTTATGACTTAATATTTTACATTGATCATTTAATTTAGTCAGCCCGCGGGCTGACTAATTATGGTACGAAGAACTTCCAAAGCGCTTGCGTGACTTGGAATTCTGGGAGGTGGTTCTGCAGTAAATCACTCCTGCTAATTTTATTTCAGTAAAATCAATTTAGATAATAAACCAACAAATCCCTATTAGACACCAAAGTAATCTGTAAATTCAACTCAAAAAGGAATTTCCCGATGCTTATTTTTGTATAGAAGGTTTCAAACAGTTTACTGGTTCGAGGTAAATTAACTGGTTCGCCCCTGATCATGTGTTCTACGCAGCGTAGTCTGGTCCCCTTCCCACAATTCTGTTCGCACACACTCTACATTGTAGAGAGTGCGCGAACGGAATTGTGGGAAGGGGACCAGACTATACGCAGCGAAGCATACAGTTGCTACTGTTGGGTGAATTTAGTGTTTGACGCGTCAATTGAAGCTCTTTTATTAAATATCTTGAAGGTATTTTACTTATGTATTTAAATCTGCAGCACAAACATTGGTTTATTACATTATTTTAGCTTTTCAGTTTTTACTGCTTTTACTTTCGTTTTCACTACAATTTACAAATCATTTCGATCCCGATGCTAATTAGCGGACTGACTTGTTAAGTCATACAACAGATACTTCGGAAAGAAAACACAACTAGCTAAGCTTGCTCATTTGTTGTCCCCCGCTGAAATTAGAGGATACCAATTTCAGTCCGTCTGTACGTCCATCTGTAGTTCTGTCTGTCTGTAACACTTTCACTTCCCCGCAATATCTCGTGAAGTCTTTGAGCTTTTGCAGTGATATTTAACACAACTGTTTACACCTTATATGGCCTTTGGAAGACCCTCTTGATTTTGAGGTCAAAGGTCAAGGTATTAAATTCAGAAATGTTGTCTGTTTTAAACACTTTTGTTTTCGTGCGATATCTCTATAAGCCATTGAGCTTTTGTAATGAAATTTTATACCACAACTCCCTATGGCCATATATATGGCGTAAGGTATACCCCTATGTATTTTGAGGTTCAAACGTCAATGTCAAAAAAATTCATACCTCTGTGTGACTGTGTGTAAAACTTTCATTTCCAGTCAATATCTCAATAAGGTTTTGAGTTTTTGCAATTAAATGTCATAAACAATCACTCCCTATGGCCCCGCCCTGGACCCCCCCCCCCCGAAATTGCGCATGCTTTTTTTATTATCAGTAAATTAGCTTGTTTTTCAAAAACTACGACCTGATAATCTAAGTTGTGGCAATCATATTTATGAATTAATAGGTTTATTATATTATAAGAGGTCTGATAAATTAATTTGTTGGTCTTAGTAATGTTTGTTTTATTCCAAT